AAACTCACCATAGATATCAGACTTAAATCTTAGCACGTCAGATGCGCGTTCCTTCTACATGAGACTCACCAGTGGCACACGAATCACCACTCTTGAATTGCATATTCAAAAAGAAAAGTTATGCCAATACAGCTCAAACAATCAATACCGTAGGGTAGATAAACCTTAGTGTTCGAGTATTTTCAGCATAAATATTTATATAAAAAAAGTAAATTCACAAACAATGAGCATATCAATGATATTTCATGTTAACACAAAAGGTTTTGTTGAAGATGATAACACAATACCATCTTACATTTGTCCGATACCTTGCTCGTATTGTTCTAGTGTATGTGGTTGATGGATCAATCCCTCGTTTCCAGGTACCTAAACTCAACGTACACTACTTTTAATTAATTTAATACGTAATATTATGAATGAATGCTTTTTAAGGGGCAAGCTTTTTATTTTGAATCATGAATTCATTGAAACGAACGTTTAATTAAACACTGAGGAGGTACACGTATGGTACATAATAAAATACTGGAGTTCTAGGTTTTATAGTTTGAATGCACATAGATGGCATAACTTTGCTCTTAACTAAGCAAAGAATGACTTTCCCTTTATTGATAACTTTCCTCTGGGTATATTTCGCTTCTTTTTTTCAACATCAACCATTTTGCCTTACTCATGCATTTTACCAACTCGAAAATGGACAATGTTGCCTTGGTGTTAAAGCTGTTTCTACTTCGTATCGATTTTCTTTTCATATTTTCTAAAGAGTGAAATGATTTCTCAAATTTTAATTTCTAAAGAATTCTTTAAAAAAACATCGAAGCTGTTCCGAGTATTTCTGTTCTTAGAATTGATATGTGTCCTTAATGCTGTCTTTCCAAATAAGAGCGTTGTGACATCTAAATGCAGCTGAAATGACGAACAGCCATAATGACCGGCTTTGACATTTTAATTGTTTTGTTGATGCTGGCATCACATTGATAATCTTCAAGTGATTTTGTAGAGGCAGAAATCCTTAATTGAACGGATGTTGGCATACCAAATGAGTAAGTATTTCAAACTTTCCGGATGTTTGAATCCCGAATTGCAAAGATGCTTGATTCCAACACGTTCTGTATGATGATGTATGTCGAACTTCTTTACTCTAGTGGAAATATAATATTTTTTTTTGTAAAATAAAAGTCAAACCGATTTCTACTGTGAAGCTAAATATAGGGAGCCTTTGTTCAATTTTTAATATTTCAATCACGATGATATCTTATTTAACAAGATTTGTCTTATTAGTTTTCGCCTATCTGAGACACAGATAAAATAATGTAATATTTTTATTTTCTTTTGCTCTATTGTTGTTTTCCTCATAATCACAAAACATTCAATGACATCAAGGAATTTGTGACGTAAAGTATGATTTGCCAGCAGTAAGCACTCTGTATTGACACGAATAAACATCGAAATGGTCATTATTATTAATTGACTGTTTTTTTTCGAAATATGAAGGATTTTCTACCACATGAATAGATTGCTTTAGCTGTATTTGGCAAAACGCTTTGGATTGTTTTATCCTCAATGCTCGTTACCTTCGTTCTTTATTGGCCTTTTGATTTATTTTTTTCGAGCACTGATGGGTCTTTTGTAGACAAGAAGCGCGTCTGGCGTATACAGATTTAATCCTGGTATCTATGATGAGTTTATTTACAACCACTGGGTCGATTTCACTGCTGGTGTTGACATGAACAATCATTGATATGGTCATAATTATATAAATGAACTGTTTACAAAACTTTGAAATTTTCGAAATACTAAGAATTTTTTACCCAAGGTGTAGATAACCGTAAACCGTTCAGAATTTTTGGTCCACAATGCTTTACAACTTCTTACTTTATTTGGCCTTATTGACTCTTTTTATTCGAGAGTCACTGATGAGTCTTTTGAAGACGAGACGCACATCTGATCTTCGGGCTTGTATGATTTTTTGAAAACTGAATTTTAACTGGTAAAGATGCCTCACAAGCCATATAAATGTAAAGACATTTCTATGAAATACAGATTTTAGGGTTGTAAGTCAAATATATTTGCGCAGGGCCTGTTCTCCCAGAGCCTAGGAGACACTCCTTTGAACAGAGAGTTGTTAATAAATGATAATTTTGGGGAAATTAAACCAAAATTAATAAAAAAAACTTTGTGAACATTGAATAGTGTAGAAGGAGAAAAAAAAACAGCATCTGAATGTAAGGAAACGACCGTCATTCTAGATACCGTATAAATAATATTTAAGAAAGGGCTCTTTGTAATTGTAAAATTTTTATTCTAAAAATGCATAATTAAAATTCATTTATCTTTTATTTGTTTTCTATAACTATAAGCATTTACTTTTTCTTAGTGCTGTTTCAGTTAACCCACATGCACGATTAGAGTGATTCATCAATGGTTTAGTGAATTTAACATTTTACCTAGCTGGTCCTTTTCAATTGGTCCTGCTTGTAATTTCTACTCCGTAAAGTTTTCCTTTCAAATCACTATATTCGTATTCGTATCGATCGATTTAGATTTAAAATTCTTGAAATACCCGCCCATCTAGCCCTATTTTATTTATATCTTTTCCTAAGTACTCTAATAAATGTTCATTATATTGACAACAATGTGTAAACAAAACAAAAAGACACAATAGGTAAAACTGTCAAAAATAGGAGTACAGCAGTCAACATTGTGTTATAATCTTAATCACTATAAAACACACAAATATGTCAACAAAGAAAAACACAATGGCATATAGACAAAACACATAGGCAAAAATGAATGACAAGAATACCAAAAATAAACATAGCACAATAACACAATGGCGGGATGTAAAAGTATCGAGCCACGCCAAAGGATATACCAAAAAATGGACTAAACAGTAAAGATTAATAATTTACAAAAACAAATAAAAGAACACTATAACACGTAATTAAGATGATAAACAACGTTCGGACTTAGAATCTATATTTCAAGACCATCATGTATTATTTGTGAGAGAGTAAATACGGAATATTTATCAACAAGGTCTTGGTATCTCCCGATGAACTTTTTTTAGAAAAAGGACAAGACGTTCTTTGACATGACCCTGTTCATCAACTTCCTGCTCAGACACTGGTGACGTTTTATAAAGTATGTGTAGCACTCCATAGTTTCCGAACAGTCTGAACATTGTAAGAAGTTAAATCAGGTTATGAAAAGGCATAGATATAATAAAAAGCAGATTTTGGCAATCGTTTATTGTGATTTCTTTAGGAAAACACACAATTAGAACGGAAAAATACATTTAAAGGTTTAAAGCTATCCACGTATGGATTTCAAAAAGTACAAAGTTCTGCAATATGCCTCATTATTACGCTCAAGTCTTACTTTTTTCCGAAAAACACAGCAATTGTCACATATAAATTTGCACCGGAAATTTAAAGAAATATTATGGGCTGCCGTTATTGGTCTACATATATATATATCACTTCTATTTATTTTTTTATTTAAGTCCTTGTACGTTGTCAGAAAATAAAAGAAAGAGGTTCCCACAATGAAATATAGTCATAATATGCTTGTATGTTTGACTTTAAAATATTTTGAAATACATATACATGTTTATGAGAAAAAGTCAATATCTAATCACGCAAATACCTCATTATTCTTTTTTTCGAAGATAAAAACTCAAAGCATCAGTTTACAACACTCGTTGACATAATTTCCATTTTAACACACGGAATACGAAAAGGTATGTTAATATATCTTTAATTAGTTTTTACTCAAGTTAAAACAACAATGTACCATTTTTTGTACGGCTGTTGTCTGCTCTTTGGTCGGGTTGTTGTCTCTTTGACATATTCCCCATTTCCATTCTCAAATTCATACTTGAAACCATCTGAAATGCAAGGTGTATTAATATTTACTTACCAATCATCAATTGCAGTTCATCATTGACCAAAGGATTGGTTTACGCTGATAAAACCTAAGAAGAAGACACCATTTTGTATAAGATACATCCGGCATATTCATCTCGTTAATGCGGAACGGTTTTGATACACATAAAGGCAAACACGTTAACAGTACTTTCAGTACAGAAACACAACTCATCAAAAAAAAAAAAAAAAAAAAAATAACATCCAAATAAAGAAGAAGAAAAAACGAGCAGCAAATTGCAGCTTGGCTAACATTAGTTGAAAACCAGTAACTTTTTTCCTAAAATGTCTTGATATTGATATAAATATATTTTTTTTTTTATTTATATGAATCGTAGTGATTATTTGAATCTAAATATATTTGTAGAAGAATATGTGTTTACCATTAGTGACAATAGTGCAAGCAACTGTTGTTGTAGTCCATAACCATGAATGTAAGGACTATGTCCTGTCGGCATCAGACCAGTCTCTTATAGATATGATGAAACATTACTTGCATACGTCAAGAAGAGAGGAATGTCCTCATCCAGGGAAAACATCCAATAGAAGTTTTTGCATTTTGTGCCAATTTCGATTTGAAAGGGATAAGGTCTACAATTTAACCCAATTTAAAAACCAAATATATTTGAAATATTTGTATAAATCACACTAATGTATTTTTTTTTTTTTGCCATTGTTAACAGAACATATTTGGATTTATACAAATGGTAATTTGTGATTATCTATAATTAATTTGTGATGGTATGTGACTGAAATTATTATTTCACCAAAGGAAATTACATCAAAAAAAGGAGGACCCTGCACTGATAAATATTGTGATATAATACATTGAAACAATAATTTATCACAATATTTTTTAGTAATCATTTTAAATGTAAAATATCTTCAAGTATAGCTTTTTTGCTTGTTATTACATCACTGACTACTTGCCATGTTCTTGATATTGCAGGAGTGACTTATGTGCGTTGGGGAAAGAAAAGTTGTCCCAAAGGATCTGAAATAGTGTATACAGGTGATAGAAATTTAACCTTATGTTAATGGTACATTTACGATATAATAACTTGGTATTGTATAAGAATGATCAACATTACAATTCTATGCAAGAATCGTAAATATGAAGTTATCTTAAGGTGGTTTTAAACATATTCTGTGGTTATGTATTAATACTATTCTAAATTACAAAAACAAATTCTAATGAGACCATAGGAAAACAACTAAGAAATCAACATCATGATTTACATATTGTACATTTTTTATTCTATTCAGTACACCAGTTTTCTTGCGTCATTACAATGTCATGCTTAAACACATATTTTATTTAAGGTCAAGTCGGTGGAAATTCCCATTTAAATAAAGGAGGTGGTGTGAACAATTTTTGTCTCTCTTTTGATCCAGAAAATGGACGGCACCAATCATATAGCGGCAATGACCAGGTATATGGTAGTGAATATGAACTTGGTTCATCATGGAAGCCGTCAGGATGGTCAGAAGGTATGCACAACAAGGAAGTGCCATGTTCTGTATGTTACCAAAAACAGAGATCAGCTGTTTTGATGATACCAGGTTCAACTATTAGTTTGAATTGTCACAAATGAAATCATGTACACTCATCAATTTTATTAATAAGAATGTATACAAATTGTTGCATACATCTATGACTTTAGAAAATTGATCATAGACTTTTTATTCGAAGTAGTTGATGGCTCCACATTTTCATCAATATACTTTTAGGAACAAAACAACAGTGTACAAGTTTACGGAAAATGGGTTTCTTTGATTAGCATAACTAGTATACAATGAAATAAGGTTTTTGTCAATTCACACAGATGGCTTATGTTGTTTAACGCATTTGTAAAGAAAAGGCTTTATGAAATGATAATAACATTTGAATTATGAAACATGTACAAACCGCAAACAAATAATCGGTACCATACCACTTTTACCTACGATAACAAATAGTTATCAGTAGTATTCAATATTATACTTGCCTATAATTTGTTTTAGGTCGAAAGACTTGTTATGAAGGATGGAACGCGGAATATAATGGTTATCTGATGAGTAGCCATAAATCACACAATAAAAAAGATTACGCATGTGTTGACATACATGCAGAACCGATAGACAATAAGAATGGAAGTGAAGATAGAGCTTTGTTTTATCCTCTCCGGAAAATGTGGTAGTTTAAGATGTCCCCCGTATACCAAGGAAGCAGATGTTCTTTATGTTGTTTGTACAAAGTAAAACGTTTGACACTAAATGAAGATAAATAAAGATTTGCCTTTGATATATCAATACACAATGTTTTGTTACTGAATATTTCACTATAATGAAACTTTTTTTTACTGCATCTATCCCATTACAGTTGTAATTAATGATACCACATATATAAGTATGATTCCAGTCTGACTTACAGTGCAAATGAGGGTTGGGTGAACAATTAGTTATAGGAGAAGAAAGCAATTTGATTGAAATTTCTAAATAAAAAGTTTGTATAAAATTTGAATATCGACAAACCACTATTGCCTCTAATTCAGCATACGCTCCTTTCCTCACCAGAGACAAGGGTGTAACATCACCTCATAAGACAAAAACTTTTTTTTACACATTAAACCACGTCAAAAGTTGGTAAAAATAGCATTGCGGTATGAATTATATGATCGGGGACTTCATAAGGTCATTAACAAAAAAATATATAAAAATTCAGAAGGTATTCAAGCAACTACAACATAGATAGAAGAAAATCATAATGGACTGCTTGCTTGATTTATTGCTTGATTGATTGGTAGGTTGATTCATTTCGGTTGGAGGTTGGAGACGTCATACCATTGGATTCTTATATGTGTCAACCTGAACAAACGCGAGGAAAACAATTGCCATTCCTTTGTTATTTTTAAGTCGCAAAATACAAATTTAAACAATTGTGGGACTTATTGTATTTGGTCCGTTTCGTTTTATGTCTTGTGGTGTCGACCCATTTATTGGAAATATATTTTGTCTGTTTTGGTTCTGCTATATGACAAACCAGATATCAATCATTATATTAATTCATAACCTTGCTCGACATTCGTGCAAGCACAAATGCGTTGATTCTTTCTTTTTGGCATGAAGTTAGTATCAAACACAAGCACAGGTGCTTGTTACATGGATCCCCTTTTTTCTTTATTTTTAGGGGAGGGCTTAAGATCTCTTGTACACTTATTAAAACCTGTCTTATGTGTACTTGTTCTTACCCATTCGTACTTACGATAACAGTAAAAACGTTCGTAAATAAAGGGACTGAGCATAAAAATAAAATTCTGAAACACAAAAAAAGAAACAGAGTAGGTCCATTCCCTTAGTGGCTGTGGAAAAGAAGTTCATAGGGCCCACTAATTATAATTTGAGGGGATAGGTGAGGACCGTGTAAAACAGTTTTCATATTATATAGTGACGATATTGCATCTGGAAAAATTAGAACTTCTTTTCTCTGGATGGCACAAGATTTCTATGCATTGTTTTGTTTTTATTCTTGCACAAAAATTAAGGGTAAAAAGCAAAGAGACATCAACTGAAAAAAGGATCATATCGGATTAGTTGACTGGTTGCTGAAAAAGTTTGTTTCGGTAAATTTTGTTTTATGATAACCCGGCATACATTAAAAAATATTGTTAAAAAAGATTTAACAATACTTTTAGATATTTGGATGATATATTGGCTCTTAATAATGACAACTTCAGTATGTATACTAAAGAAATTTATCCTGTTGAACTAACTTTAAATAAAGCTAATACTAACAATGACCACTGTCCTTTCCTCGATCTTGATATCTATATCATTATCGGGAAGCTTAATACAAAAATTTATGATAAAAGATATGATTTTTCATTTCCTATCGTTAATTATTCATTTTTAGATGGCGACGTTCCCTTGTCACCATCTTATGGTGTTTATATATCACAACGTACGATTCGCTCGTGTATGTAACAACGTATTAGATTTTAGCGAGAGAAATTTATATATTACTGAAAAATTATTACACCAGGGTTTTCGATATCATAAACTAGTCAAAACATTTACTAAATTTTATCATCGGTATAAGGACATCATTCGTAAATATAACTCAACATGCAGACATCTTATACGTTCGGGTATTTCACATCCAATCTTGTATGGTAATATTCTTTACAAAGCACAAAAATGTCAGTATTCACCTCAAAAGCTAACTAAACCTTTAAACAGACTTATTAAGAAGGGATATAGTTACGATACTGTTGTCAGGTCATTAAAGATTGCATATTTTGGCTTTAATATTGATTCACTAATAGGGTCTTTGCATCGGAATTAAACATGTTTATTTTAAAACCAGTTGTTGGCATGACACGGGTTATGTTCGTCTCATATATTTTATGACGGTATAATACTAAACCCCTAACAGGAGGGATTGTGCCTGATATTCATATGATGAAGACATAATCTTTCAATCAGTTTAATTGAGGTCTGGAGCTGGCATGTCAGTAACTGCTAGTAGTCTGTTGTTATTTATGTATAATTGTCATTTTGTTTATTTTCTCTTGTTTCCTATTCTGACATCGGACTCGGACTTCTCTTAAACTGAGTTTTACTGTGCGTACTGTTGTACGTTTGTGTTTTCTACATTGGCTAGAGGTATAGGGGGAGGGTTGAGATCTCAAAAAACATGTTTAACCCCGCCGCATTTTTGCGCCTGTCCCAAGTCAGGAGCCTCTGGCCTTTGTTATTCTTGTATGATTTTAAATTTAGTTTCTTGTGTATAATTAGCAGTTTAGTATGACGTCCATTATCACTGTACTAGTATACATATTTGTTTAGGGGCCAGCTGAAGGACGCCTACGGGTGCGGGAGTTTCTCGCTGCATTGAAGACCCATTGGTGGCCTTCGGCTGTTGTCTGCTCTATGGTCGGGTGTTTGTCTCTTTGACACATTCCCCATTTCCATTCTCAATTTTATACATATAGTTTTTATGTGAAAATAAGATAGAATTTACATTCCAGCAAAATAATTTGGGAATTGCACAACAAGACCATACGGTTTATGCAGGGTCAGGAAAACCATCGAAATTTTCAAGATAGGGTTCCAAAAGGTTTTTACTGCATATAAGGGTTCTTGAAAGGTGCAAATTTATCGTCGGATTTTTCTCTAAACCATGCGGTGTGGAAGACATTTCTGTCAATATCCTAACTCATTTATGCTGAATTATGTATTCATTTATGCATAATTTTTCCCCCTCGACGACGAGAGACAGTATGTTTTTACAGTAGTAGTTATTCGTTTTCTGTTTGTTTTCCCTTCTATACAAAATTGTCCGAAACAAATCTTTTGCATCATTTAATATTGACTAATGATTTTTGGCACTAACAAGAGAGGCGGAAGATACCAAAGGGATATTCTAAGTTGCACATACAAAGAAAATGTGTGTAGTATACATTCTTGACCCTCGCGAGAACTTGACTTGACCTTTTATTTCTTATCTGTAACATTACTTTTTAATCCTTTGACATAGGCTGTTGATAGTTGGCACTGCGATGTTTTTTCTTAAGACATTGTGTTGTGTAGCCTGACAAATAATAGACCATCCCATTTAACCTCGTATAATAAACCATATTTGAATATCACAAAATGGGTTCAGCTACCCCACCCCAAAAAACAATGCCATGATTAGATCTTTTTTTTAAATGTACCATTATCTACATAAGGAAATGCCTGTATCATGTCAGGAATATGACAACTGTTTTCCATTTAATTCGTGTGTTTGAGTTTTTTTATTTTGCCATTTGATAAGGGACTTTCCGTTCTAAAATTTTCTTTCAAATTCGGTATTTTTGTTATTTTACTTTTTGTTGTATATAACAAATATTCCTAAACGTATCTTAGTTATGAAAGAAAACAACTAATGTGTCCCTTGGTCTAAATGTTTGTGTTGTTTTGATATAATTTTAAACTGACATTGTCTGGAAATTTGTTACAGTATTTGTTAGATTTCTTTCTCTTCTACTGACAGCGAGTGGATTCCTTCTTGAAAGCCTACTCTACCTTGTATGAGATGAAGAACAGCAACTAAGGCTCTGTTTTTTATTCATCTGATTTGTTTTTGTTTGCGTCTTGATTGTATTTCATAAGTTGATTCACAAATCCCTCCTTTACCATTTTAAGTCCTTTATAGTGCCCTTATATTTTGTTCCTAGGGGTGTCGTGTCCCGTTTTCTTATACCAACACACCTAATACCAACTGCCAAAAAACATTTATTCTTATTTAAAATACCCAACCACTACTATAAAGAGTTTGGTTTGGCCTAACCTATACCTGTGTGACTTTTATAGATGAAAGGTAGACATAATAATAGTTTGAAATAATTTATTGACTTATTAATTGATTTATTTTGATATTTTATAGTTATTTTACTTTTGATTGTATCAAATGCAATAATTTTCTGTCTGCAAAATAGTTCTAAGACATGTATGAGGAGGATGTTTATTTTCTTAAATATAATTTAGGTTACCCATCAATTTATATTATCTAGAAAAAGTAAAATAACAAAAATACCGAATTCCATGGCATATTCAAAATGAAAAGTCCTTTATCAAATAGTAAAATCAAAAGCTCAAACACATCAAACGAATGTAAAACAACTGTCATGTTCCTGAAAGAAAAGAGTAAAATGTAACATAAGGAGTGTTCCAATAGGCTGCTATCATCTCCGCTCTTTAAAGACCCCACGCAAAAAAGAAGTAGTTATGCACATGAAAATAACTAACTCAGGCCGTCTTAAACTTGCAGTGAGATAAGAGGTTTTGCTCCGTGTTGAAGGCCTCGCTGTGACTTTGAAATGAAGAACATAAATAAAAGGCTGTTCCTTTGCTTTTTGTGGTTTTTTTGCTCTGCATGTACTGGTTTTGTGTCATGGATAGATACCCCATATACCATTTTTCTATTAAAATGGTTTCTTGTCCAGATTTGGCTATATTTGTTTTGTACTTTTCGGCTTATTTCCAAATTGCAGAGACAATGATTATCGAAATTAACATTTGGTGCAGTAACTTAAGTACCATTAATAGTTTTTCTCGGAAAATACAATCTATCTATAAAAACAAATTATCTCTAAGGATCTGTTTTTATATTATTTAATGATGTAAGCTCTTTAGAAAGAATGGTCTTCTGCAAACAACAAGACGATGACCACCAATAAACATAATAACAAAGTGCAGATTTTTTTTTAATATTTTAGTCATAATTTAGTTTATATTTTATGTAGAGTAT